CCCTTTTGTCGTGGGAGGGGACGTATTCCACAGGTTCCAGGGATGAGGACGTGGACATCCTTCGGGGAGCATTATTCTGTCTACCTCACCATCCCCTGTGCTGGTAAAGCAGACTCAGGGTTCCGGAAGGTTTCGGGGAAAAGGTTGACCCTCCAGAGCCAGAGTTCTGTCTGTCCTGCTCTCTGCTCCCGAGCAGCCCCCAGGAGGAGGTCCCCTGTGCACAGCTCCTGGGCAGCTGTGGTTGGCGTCGTGGGGGGGGGGGCGGTGGGCCGCCTCCTGAGCTGGCCCCCCCCAGGGCTCCATTTCCCTGAGGCCTCGCAGCCCGCGGCTCTGCCTGTCCTTGGGCACTTGCCTCCAGCCCCTGGCTCTCGAGGCCCCCATCCCCGTGGGCACTCAGGCATCCCGTGGCTGAAGAAGGGCCCTGGAGCAACCACTGCCGCAGGCCTGGACTCCCCAGGGTGGGTGTGAGTCCCAGCGGTAACGGGCCGCTGAGCACCCCCATCTCGGCCCGCCCGGGCCTGATTCTCACAGGAGCCCCAGAAATGGGTTCTGCTCTCCCGTCTGAAGGAGTAGAAGCTGAGGCTCAGAGAGGGTGAGTGGTGGTGAGTGCAGGAGAAAGTACTCGAACTGCAGATGACAGGAGCTCCCCAACACCGCCTGGAGAGGGAAGCAGGAGAGGTCACCAGCAGCATGGGGGGACACAGAGGAGGTGACCCCGGAGGCCAAGGGGAGAAACGAGGCCCCACTCACTGCCGCTACCAGACCCAGACTTCCATGAGGGCCTCGATGAGCCCACCCTGCCGTGGGAGGGAGGCACCATGGTGGCCGTGAGGGACACTTGGGCAGGACGTGCCAGCTTTAGGGGACACATTCACTCACCGGTGTCCCGCCTGCCTGAGGGCCGGCTGGCCAGTCTGCTGAGCACACAGAGGAGCTCACCCATCACCGCTGTTGGGGTCCCGGTCTTGCCGTGGGCGAGTGGACGAGGCACCCACCTTCCCTGTCTAGAGGGCGGGGGGCTGGCCTGCGGAGCCCTCACAGGGACCTCTGCAGACGGGACTCAAACTGGGAAGCAGTTAACGGGTGGCTCTCCTCCCTCCAGGGACCTCAGGAATGACTCCCAAACAGCTTGCCTTTGAGAAGTGTTTAATTATTCATTCCCAGCTCCTTCCTAGTGGGTTTCCTGAACCGCTGGTGGCCAGCGCAGGCCTCTCCTCTGGTCTCAGCTGCTCCTCCCGGCCTTGCTCAGCGGGGCCCTCAGCCCGGGACAGGACACAGCTGGTCCAGGTCAGAGCCAGAGAAGCGAATTAGTTACAGCACGGGGTGCGTTGGGGCAGCAGTGCTGATGGGGTGCGAAGCCGCACCTGAGCATGGCCAGCATCCTCAGCATCCCCAGCATCCTTAGGCACGTTTTCCCCAGATTTCTGAAACAACACCCCACGGGTCCCAGGAGACACTGGCCATGGGATCCTTCTCGATGCAGGAAGCCCGTTGTTCTCTCAGGGAACAGCGGACCCCTGCTCTGCTCTGCTGTGTCCTCCCAGTGATGTGGGGAGTTCTGGGGCCCATGGACCCGATCTGAGATGCTGGACTGCAGAAAGGAAGGAAACGGCTGCTTTCTGAGCACGGAAATTCTCCAGTTTGGTGGGCAGTCATTATGGGTGCCAGATCCTGGGGTGGCATGCCCGGCTGTCCCCGTTTGCCTGGCACCAAGGGCTTCCTGGATGCAGGACTTCCAGTGCCAACGCCAGGCTGAGCTGGGACTGTTGTCACCCTGTGCATGAGGACACAGCAGGTAGCAGGACAGGTGGGTCCTGCCCCTCTAGAGGGCCGCCCCCCTTCTCCCTGGGGAGCAAGCAGTCACGGCTCCGAGTAAGAGCCAGCGATCTGGGGGTCCAGGGGGAGGACTCACCTCAGACCAGGGCAGGGAAGGCCTGGCTGGGTCCCCTGCCCTCTCTCTGGTCCTCTCACCTACCCCAGGCCTCTGAGGCCAGGATCATCATCCCAGCTTTGCAGATGAGGTGAAGGAGACTCAGGCTGGCAAAGCACCCCCCACCAGGATGAAGGGTAGAGGCCAGGTCAACACCCTAGCTCAGCTTCCTGCTTAGCCAGGGGCCCGTCCACCACCCCTGCCGCCCTGGCCTGGCCTCAAGGCCACAAATCCCTGCTCCTTCTAGAGAGTGCCAAGGGAAGGTGACCCCCAGTAGCTGTGTACACAGCGTTGTCTCCCCTCCCCCTTGCACGGGGTCGGGGGCTGGGAGCAAGCAGAGCTGGATGAGCCAGAGGCCAGTCCTCAGCTGTCCTAGCAAGCGAGCGACGCGCACAATTCTCTGCAAGGAAAAAAAGAGCAGAGATGTAATGAGCCAGCCACCCTTCACTGATTTGCACATAATCGTATCTTTCCCTTAATGGAACCAGCTACCGAGGCGCCCTGACACCTTCTCTCTCCATTCTCCCCATTTGATTCAAGAGGTTTAGACCGTGCCTGGTCGCGTTCACCGTTCAGCAGACATGACCGAGGCCCGCTGTGCCCGCCGGTCCATGCCAGCGCTCGGTGGAGGGCCCCCCGTCAGGGCCAGGTGGGAAGCACCCTGTCACACCCCTGTCGCCACAGCCTCTCTGTCGTGCAGGACTGAGAACTTTCTGCACGTCGGCACCTGTGCATTTCCGTGGTCCTGTCACCTTGGCTGCAGGTGCTAGCAGGTGTTGAGGGCCCCGTGGAGGATGCTGGAGTGAATGAATGTTATCCAGTGATGGCCCCGTGGAGGCCCTGCCCCCCGAGGTGGGAGCGTGGGGCAGGTGGAGCGGGGCGGGGGCTTCCCCACCTGGGGAGGTGGGGACGTGGCGAGCGGCAGGCTACCCTGGTATCAGACCCTCTTAGAGACACTTCTGTGCCGGTAGTTCTGTTCGCGACACCGGATCCTCAGGACGTGAGGCAGGAATGCAGACGGAGCTCAGTATAAAAACGTGCACAGTGGGGATATTTATCTACTGAAAAAGTGGACACAACCTCACTGGGCTCGGGTGGGTAAATTACAGTTTATTCCTTTAATGGAATCCCCTGCAGCCTTCGAAAACATTCTCACAAAAATGTCAACATGTAGAACATGCTTCTGTTCTCATGGTCCCAGAGCGCCAGCCACCAAGCCACGGCAGTGAGGACATGTGGGGAAAGAGCTGGAAGTAGGGGGGAGTTGTAGAAAATTAGTCTTATTTCTATGAACTTTCCAAATTTTCTATGAAGAAACAGAATATGGGCGGGGGAGACTTGATCTCAGGCTTTCCTGGAAGAATGGACTTGGTGGGACATGTGGTGGGTGGTTCTGGACCTGCAGTCCCTCCCCCACCTGCACCCAGCTGCACACAGAGCCGCCCCACACGCTGCCTCCCGCCTCTGCCCACCCCGTTCCCGGTGTGCCCCCCCCCGTCCATGTCCACACGCACGCACGCTCCCACTCACACACTCACATGTACTCCCATGCACCTCCACACACACACACGTTCGCACACACGCACACTCCCACTTACACATGCGCGTGCTCACGCTCACATGCACACACTGACACACTCCCACTTACACACACACGTGCTCTCTCACACACTCTCATATGCACACACTCACGCCCGTCCCTGGCTTGGCTGCGCAAGGTCAGCTGAAGAGACGCAAGCACTCTGAGGACAGCCCTTCCCCGCAGGGAGAGTTTTCCTCGCCCCCCTCCAAGGCAGGCCACCCCCCAACTTTCCTCCAGACCTGTGCCTCCAGGACCCCGAGAGGGGCCTCAGCCTCCTTGCATAGGCTCCAGGGCCCCCCCAGCGGCCAGGCAGGAGGGTCTTCCCTGCGGTCACCTGGTGGCAGAAGCAGCAGCTGCGAGTCAGGGGGTGTCCCCGGTCGGCCTGGGGACGTGACAAGTAGAGGTCAGCCGAGGCAGGCTGGCGGGGCTCGGGGTTGGCCCCTTGCGGCTGCACAGCGAGTAGCGGGTGACGCAAAGTCACGATGCAGCCTTGGGCCCCCTCCCTGACCTCCACGGTCGGGTCAGTGAGCCAGCGACCTCCTGCCTGGCCATGTCGGTGTGTAGGGCTTCCGTAAGAAGTGACCGCAGACCATGAGCTTCACGGAACAGGCATTTGCGCCCTCACGGGTCTGCAGGCTGGGTGTCAGCTGGGCCGTGCCCCCCACCAGAGGCTCCAGGGGCGGCTCCTTCCTGCTCTTCCAGCGTCTCGGCCTCCAATCTCTGCCTCTGTCTTCATGTGGCCTCTCCTCCAAGTCTGCTTCCCCTCATCTGCCTCTCCCGAGGATGTGTCTCATTCTCAAATCCCACCCATCCCTGCAGGCGGGCCCCCCAGACCTCCCCTCCCACCATCCTACGGGGACGTCCTGGGGGCTTGAGGGGAGTGGGAGTCCTAGCACAGCACTTTGCATTCTACCGACCCCCACCCCCATCTCCGCCACCCCTCTGCGCCCCCCATCCCCGCTCTGCTTCTCGGGTTCCAGACCTTTTCCCAGCTAGTATCCCATTACCTGTGTGGTGCCCCCAGGATGGCCCAGCCCTCCCTGGGGGACTCTGGGCAGGCCACTGTGCATGTGTGTGTGGTAGAGGCCCAGCCAGGTCCCAGGCTTACCACGGACAGCCCCTGCCACGTTCTTGCCCTCGGTTCTGAGGCTCTGTCCTGGTTTTCCTCTCCACTGTGGGCCGTGGCCACAGCTCAGCCCTTTCAGGCAGGAGCATGGGAGACCCCAGCTTACCCCGGGCCCCTCCGGCATGGCACAGACCCTCTGGGGGCAGCTCTGGTGTCCACACCTGTCTTCTCCAGCCTGCACATCGGGACAGCAGGGACTGGGCCACGCATCTGTGCCCAGCACCCAGCCTGCATGGAGGGGGCGGCTGCCGTGGTGTGGGAAGGAGTGAGGGAATGAATGAATGAATGAATGAATGGCAGACAGGTGCGCAAGGCCAGCTGGGCAGTGCCCTTGACAGTTTCGTGTCCTGTGTCCCTTGCAGATGTGCTGGTGGACGGACAGCCCTGTGACTGTGAGGCCGCGGCCTGCCGGGTGGGCGACCCCGTGCGTCTGGAGGTGCGGCTGACCAACCGGAGCCCACGCAGCGTGGGGCCCTTCGCCCTCACTGTCGCGCCCTTCCAGGACCACCAGAACGGAGTGCACAACTACGACCTGCACGATGCCGTCTCCTTCGTGGGCTCCAGCACATTCTACCTGGACGCGGTGCGTGGCGGTCTGCGAGCCCCAGCGCAGCCCCCGTGGCCATTGTCCCTTTGTCCCCAGACCCCCGCCCCCGGGCGGTGGGCTTAGTGGGGAGCAAGCACAGACTCGTCTGTGCTGACCCTCGTTCATGCGACTCACCACAGGACCTCCCGAGTCCTGGCTGTGGTCCAGGATGGAGAGACCACCCCGAAGCTTGTTAAGGAGACAAGGCGGGTGGAGGAGGCCTAGGATAGCGTCAGACCTGCTGCCATCACCAGCCCCCGGCCCCGCTCAGTCAGTGCTCCCGGCCTGGTGGTGGCTGCCCGCAGCCCAGCGGGACCAGTGACATCCACACGGCACAGCGCCCACGGCCCATTCACCTGCTGAAATGACGCCTCATCCCATCCACCCCCCAGCCTGCCTCAACCCCCACATGGCCCAGGGAGGGAAGTGCTGTGCTCCCTCCGAAGCCAGGAGCTAAGGCTCAGAGAGGGGCAGCCACCTGCTTGGGGAGGCACAGCAGGGAAGCCCTGGAGGGGGCCCTCCCCTCCCCCGTTGCCCCCACGTCCAGGCAGGTCCAAGGGTCTCCTGGTGGCTTTGGGGCTCGGTCTGCTCTGGGCTGACCTCCGCCCCTCCTCCCACAGGTGCAGCCTGCAGGCCGGTCGGCCTGCCTGGGAGCCCTGCTCTTCCTCTACACGGGCGACTTCTTCCTCCACATCCGCTTCCACCAGGACAGTGCGAGCAAGGAGCTGCCGCCGTCCTGGTTCTGCCTGCCCAGCGTGCACGTGCGCGCCCTGGAGGCACAGGCCTGAGCCCTGTGGCCCTCCTCTGGGGCCCCGTTCCTGTGGGCATGGGTGACCCGGCAGCCACGGGGGCCCGGCCTAGCCCCCACCTTCCCTCCGTCAGTCCCCACCCTTCCCCCCCAACTCCTGTGAGTGCCCCAGACACGGCAGCCTCACCCCTTCCCGAACTGGCCAGCAGGGCCCTCTGCTGGAGCTTGGCACTAACCAGACCCCAGAGAGCAGCACCCATCCAGACCAGCCCCCTCTCGCCCCCCACCAGGTCCCTGCACCTGTTGCTGTGACCTGGGGGTCACAGCCCAGCCAGGAGAAAGGAAAGGTGAGTGTAAGGGAGGGCCATGGCTCGGTGGGGCCTGGGGAACCTTTCCTGAGCCCCCTCAGACCTGGCCCTCCCCCACTCCCAGTGCTGGCTCTTCTCCTGAGGGCCCCGAGGCAGCCCAGGCAGGAGAGGTGGGTCTGTGCATCAAGCAGGTCCATCTGCCCCCCACAGCAGGCAGACATCCAGGCCTCTGCCAGCTATCCCGGGCCCAGGGCTGTTTCCAGGCTGGGCTTGGGGTGCCGTGGCCTGCGTGTGTCCGTGACAAGTTCTCCAATAAACGGCCTGCCTTGCTTCTCTGCTGGTCCACTGCGTCCGTGCATCTGCTTGCCCAGCATGGTCAGGGGCCACCCCACCCAGCCCATCAGCCCCCAACTCAGGTAGGGATTCCCACGCACACGGGACAGCACATGGAAACCCCCCGTGACACGGCTGGTGGCCAGCAGGGTTGGGCCTGTGTCTGTCTGTCCCTGTGACCCCAGCCCCCCCCGTGCACACACTCTTTGGGCCTGGCTCCCCAGCCCCGGTCAGAACCCTGACTCGAGCCCCACCCCCCAGTCCTTGGCCCCTCACGATGGCTCTGGCCATCTTGGCCTCCTGCTTTCTCTCATGAGATCCACGCAACATCTGCCTCTCTTCCACCCCACTCCAACACTCGGAAGACGTTCGGGCGTAGGTTGGGCTGGGTGTCCCTGGCCTGACGGGACAGACCCTGTTGAGGCCACCACCCTCAACCTGTGAGGGCGGGCTCTCCCCTCGGCCCTCCCCTCCCCCCTGCTCCCTGGGGGGCCGCCCGCCCACTGGTCCCTGCAGCAGCCACTGCGACCTACAGCCCTCCCACGGGCAGGCTCCTGGCGCCTCTGTGCCCACAGCATCAGTGTGTCTGGCACACGTCGGTCCCGGGCAGGACTCTGGGCCTCCCCCTTTCCACAGGGCTGCCCAGGGCAGCAGGAATAGCACCGACTTGCTCTCGGGGACCGTCGCCAGGCTGTCGTGGGGCCTGGGTGATCCCCATGAAAGCTGCGGGCTTGGGGCAGGGGAGAACTTTCCCGGCCCCACCTCGCAAGGGGCTGCACGGTATCTGCTGGGGCAGCACCTCCCAGTGCCCGGCATGGCTGGGACACTCGGCCCCTGCTGTGCGTTCCCCAACTGCTCTGGGCCCAGGGGCACTGCCTTCCTCACGGGGGGAAACGGAGTCTCCAAGTGCCTGGAGCACATAGCAGGAGATGATGGAGGGGGGTCAGAATCCCGCAGGGGTCCTCCCTGCTGCTCCAGCCTGTGTCCCCCAGGAGACCCCCGGGGGGGGCGCCTGCTCCCACACTTCCCTCTAATGTGGGTGTGAGTCCAGGCCCAGGCCCCAGGGCTAAGCTGCCACATGGGGTTTTGCAGGCTGCTTCCCTCCTCGAGGCTCCCACCGGAAGGGTGAGCAGGGCGGGAGTCCAGCCGGGGCCTGCAGGGCTGGGCCGCCCTGGGGAGGGGCACCTTATTCAGATGGCACCAAGCTTCCATGGGCGCTGTGGTGGCCCGGCGCCCCCAGCTCCTTCAGACTCGCTGCTCACAGGCCGTGCTCCTCCCGGCGCTCCACCCTGAGCAACCTCCCCTCTCTCCCAGCCGGGAGGAAGATATGGAGCGTCTCAGCAGAGGCCGGCCCAGGGAGGGTCTTGGTCTGAGTGTTTTGCTAGAACAGTGGGCTGTTCTAGCAAATTATCAAACCTGAGGAGGGGGTAATGGGAACCCCAACTTATAGCTGGTTGGTTAGAAGTACAGGTGGCCAGAACTTGCGAAGAGTGTCTTCAGTGGGGGCAGTTTTGTGGGACTGAGCCCTTCACCTAACTCCAGGTGGTTCACATCAGAACTGAGTTGACCTGTAGGACACCCAGCCAGGGTCCAAGTGGGGAATTGACTGGGGTAGGGACCCCACATTTGGCGTCAGAAGGCGTGGTGAGTACAGAGGACAGGTTCCCTCACTAAGCCAGGAAGGGAACAGGCCTCTGGCCCCGGGACCCAGTGTCCAGGCTGCCATCCGTGGCCTCCTGCAGGGCAATCTGGGTGGGCATGCTGTGGGTGGTGTGCAGTGCCCTGGTGCCCATTATCAGCCACCCGAAGCTCGCAGCTCCATAAGGAAAGCAAGCCAGGGGGTCCACCGTGGCAGGGGCTGGGGACTTGCAGCAGAGATGGCCAAAGCCCTTCGCTCAGGCGTAAAAAACTCCTTCCAGGGCCATGTGACCATCTGTTTCTGGCTCCCCAGGACAGGGCCAGGTCTGACCTGTTCCCCATCCTGGACGCCCATCCACAGAGATCGGATGGGCAAGCCCGCTGCAGGAGGCCTTGTCCGGGGTCAAGTTCTGGCTCAGCCACTTCCTCAGCTCATCACCTGGGGCATCTTGGCTGTTAGGATTAGATGAGGGGTCCTGCACTACCCTTCACATAGTAGGTGCTCACTAAATGGCCAGTTGGCCCCTTGGTCAGAGTCTGGGAATGTGCCTTGTGTCCCCAGGCAGCAGGAGGTCCCATTTGTGGTGTCCATTCTGCGCACCTGTTACAGGTGAGTCACCCTGACGGGTAGGGACCGTGTGAAGCTGTTCATCCTCAGCTTGTGTCCAGAGATACCTCCAGAAGGAAGCAAGTCCCTGGCTACTACTGCTGAGCTCTGGGGGCCGCTTGCCCAGTGCCAGGCAACCAGTAAGTAAAGTGGTACAAGGGAAGGACCTGGTCTTACTCTGGCCCAGCCCGAGGAAGGAGCCCAGGACCCTACCAGGCTTGACTGGGTTATGCAGAATGCCGTGCTGCAAGCTGGGTGAGTGGCACCTGCCCCAGCTGGCCCACTGAATGCCGCGTAGCTGGTAAGTGAGCCCGTGGGCTGGTGCGCGAGCCCATCAGTGGGAGCCAGGGCACGGACCCCACAGTCGCAGTGGAGGTCTCTGGAGAAACTAAAGGGCTGGTTGGTTGGGTCTGTGGGCAGGAGGATCAAGGAAGGCTTCCCGGAAGAGGTGGCATGGGAGGGGGTGGGGCAGGAGGAAGGGATCTCTAGGAGTGCGGGAGGGCTGAGTGAAGACCTGGAAGCAGGACAACAGGCGCTTGAGCCCCTGGAACACAGAGGGACCAGGCCATTCCTCTCAGCCACTGGGGACTCATGGGGCCTGTGCTCTGCTGGGCCAGGACCCAGGAAAATGTGATGGATGACCTTGGGGGGCCATGGGGGGAGGGTTGGGCTCTGGTTGGGGTCAGATGGGGGAATGACTTTGGTCTTGCCGCAGTTCACCAGGGGAGAAGGTGGAGGAAGAGGGTTTGAGCAGAAGGAACAGCGTGTGCCAGGAGGCCTGGCACAGACCAGTGGGCAGATGCGGGTGGACAGTTCGTATGACAGAAAGTGCATGGCCCCAGGGCTGAGGGGGGCAGGGCCTGCCCAGGAGGCATGTGGGGGCCCCGGGGCAGGTGAAGTGCTCCCTGAGTCCAGCCCCTGGAGACCAGCAGAGAGGCCAGGCCAGGAGACAAGGGACTGGAGGCAGATGGCTGAGGAGGGAAAGCAGGGGGGTTGTGGCCAGGGGTGTTTACGGGCCTGGTGAGCCCAGGGGAGGGGGCCATCAGCCATTGCCCGCATCTCCTCACGGCCTCGCGGTCCACCCCGCAGTGCCCAGCGTGTGCTCCAGCCGCCCCCCCACCTCCGCCGCCGGCCTCTTCTCAGTCTCCAAACCTGTTCTGCCTCAGGGCCTCAACTGTCCTCTCTGCCTGGATGGGTGTCTGCCCACAGGCCTCACGTGGCCTCTTGCATCTCAGTCTCAGCTCCATATCGCCTCCCATGAGGGGCCTTTCCTGACCACCCAGCTCTCCATGGAGGAGATGGCCCGATCTGGAATGATCTCTATGCTCGCTCATGCATTGTGTGCTCTGTCCTCTGCCGAAATGTGAGGCCCTGGGAAGGTGGCTGGCAGGTGGAGGGCCCTGGGTGGGAATCGGCTACGAGCCATCCCCAGCCTGGGGGCAGTGCCCTGCGGAGTGGGCAGAGCACGAGGTTGGGAGCTCAAACACAGCTCCAGCTCTGCCTTGCTGTGTGACCATGGGCTGGCCCCTCCACTTCTCTGAGCCTTGATCTCTCTTCTGTAAAATGGAGATGATCATGCCCCCTCAGTGGGAGGTTAAGGGTTGTATCCAAAGGGCCTAGGACAGTGTGGGCATGTCTGGGTGCCCAGAAAACATTTGTGGAATGAAAGAATGAGCACAGCCATTCACCGGCTGTCTTGGTCCTGCCCCCTGTGAGATGTGTGGCCTTGGCAATGCCATGCCGCCTCCCTTGGCCTCAGTGTCCTGCTCTGTAAAATGGGATCGACCCCATTTCAGTCTCCAAATCCCATCACCCACGGATGGGATGGGAGCAGAAGACATGGGGCTCTTTCAAGGATCTCCTGGCCTCCTAGATGCTCTGTGTTGTCCAGATGGGACACGCTGAGGCAGGTGGGACCCCATGTTCCACCATGTGAAGAATGTCGAGCAAAGCCAGGACTAACTAACTAACTCCACCCACCCACCCCCAACACACACATACACACAGTCAGTGAGGAGGCCACAGGAAGGGGAAGGAGGAGAGTTTGGGCACAACGCTGGGCCTGGGTCATCAGGGCCCTCAAGACAAGAAGACCCAAGGACCTCCACCCACCCAACGGGGAGGGACAGCCTGGAAATCAGGAGAGAGGAAATAGGACAAAGCGCTCGCTCAGCCCTGCAGAAGGCAAGATGTATCTCACCGCAGCAGCCTTTGTTGAACAAAAAATTCACAACAACCTAAATGACCATTAATGGGGACTGGACGAATCAACTGCACTTCCGGAGACGAGGCCAGTCGGGCCAGGCAGTACCTGCACAGCCAGTCTGGCCATCGTGGGTGCCGCTGACGCACGCAGCCGACCCCACCCAGGCAAACAGCCTCCCCCCCAAAACTCTATGATTTCTGTGCATCAAAAGCTGTCTAGAAAAGCACGTTTAAGAGGTGGAAGGAATACATGCCTCCCTTAGAATAGTGGCCTCCTTTGAGGTTGAAAGAGACTTTCAGAATGGGGTGCAGGTTGGGGCACTTTAGTCCCTTTGCCCTTGCTTCCCAAGTACACGGGGGAGGGGGAGGAGGAGAGAGAGAGGTGTGACAGAGACAGAGATGGTGGAGAGCAGGATGGGGAGAGACGGTGGAGATACAAAGACGGAGGTGAGAGAGACGAGATGGAAGCCTAGGAAAGCTCATTCCGAAGAACAGTGTTTGACTCCGACTGGTGAGCATATTGGCGATTGCCATTCTTCTTTGACTTTCTCT